AAACACATCACCCTTAAACACATCATACACAGCATCATCACACACAGCACCCCTCAAACACAGCATCCATTACACACACATACTGGACCCTTCACATACACACTACACCCCTCACAGACACCCACTGCACACCTCACACATACACACAGAACCCCAACACACTGCACTAAACACACACACACACACATACAATACTTCCAAATATATATATATATTTTATATTATATACACACACACCACAGCACCCTTCACACACACTGAACCCCTCACACACATACTGCACCCCTAAACATATTACATTCCAGACACACTATCCCTTACCCAACTATGGATCATATACACACACTAAATCCCTATATAAACTCTGATTCCGTTATATACACACACTCACTAGATCTCATACACATTCTGGGTCCTTCAAACACACACTAGACTCCTGTATACACACACACACTGCACCACCTACACACACTACATTCCTAACATACACACTCTGGATCCCTTATACACACACTAGATTCCTTGTAAACAAACACATGCTACACCCCTAAACGCACACTCTCTACAACCCCTACAAACACTACATCACCTATACATACACACACACACACTATAGCCTGTGTGCACACATTTACTACATCCCCTATACACACATTCTCTTCAGCTCCTAGCCACATATGCATTACATTACACCACAAACACAACACGACTAAAACCGACTTTATTACACAATACCACACCACGACCAGCTCACTCTGCACACACACAATCCCACAAGCAGGCTCCAAACACATGCACAATACTCTTTCCTGGCCCTTTCGTCTCCTGGTATCCATTTATAGAGACACCAGAGACAAGTTTCAAGGAAACACAGTGCAAGCATGTTATTAAATTTGCTTGCACTGTGCAGAACAAATACAGGTTTTTTTCTTCTCATGCTAGAGCTCTTTAGCAGAGCTCTGCCCTGGAAGAGCATTGACCCAACGCTCACTTTGAGAGGGGGCGTGTTTGTCTTTGGTGATGACGAAACACACCCTCTCTGCCCCGCCCCCTTCTTAGTGGGCCGCTGTGCTAAAAAAATGCCCGGGCTGAATTTTTCTCCCAGTCCGGCCCTGAACGGAAGTACCCAGTCGGGGTGTCAGGTGATCTGTTACACCCCCTCACTATTTTTAGGGTGAGGGAGGTAGGTGGGGTTTATTATTTATTTGGGTGGGGGGTAACTAGGGACTTGGTCACCTTGTCACCTTGTGGGGGGTGTAACAATGTCATTGTTTTTTAGGGCCCCCACCCGTCACTCAGGGGTGGTGTCATTTTCATTTAGGGCCACAAACCGCCACTCAGGAGTGTGGGCCAGGGGGAGGAAAATAGGTCCGCCCATTGTTATTTAGGGCCCCCACCCACCGCTCAGAGGTGGGGAACAGGGGGGGAGGACAACAGGTCCCCCCCTACATACACATTTAGAGCCCCCAACCGCTGCCACAGGCTGCTCACTGTTTAATAGACATGCCCCCACTCCCGGTATAGCAAGTAGGGGTAACATTTACTAATACGAAGTAATCTTTACTTAGTATTAGTAAATTTGGCTGAAAGACCAATTTAGGTCATTCAGCCTTTTGGTAGATAGCTCTCTAATACAGTGGGAATTAGGGAGTTATCTACTAATCAGCTGCAAGATGCAGCTGCAGCACAAATAGGATTGGAGTTTCATTCATTCCAATGAAATTCCGATCCGAATAAAGTCCCTAACACGAATGGAAACATGTTCTCCTTCTGTTAGGACGCAATTTGGTAGTTTTGCAGGCGTTATGTCTAAATGACAGGACGTTCGGGAAAATTGAAAGGAGGCACAGTGGGAACATGGAGGAAAGGTGAAAGTTGTGGGAATATTGCTCTGACCACCGTAAATGAAGCTCACTTTGCTCCTCCACTGGTCAGAGATTGTAAGCATAGGAAACCTCCATAAGACAAGTACACTTTGTGTAAGACACTTTGTCTTATGTTTTAAAGAAAACTAGAGCAAACAGGAAGAAATTAAGAACAGATCCTGGGAGAGGAAGAGAAGAGGAATCGATTAAAGAAAGGTAAGTTTGGCATGACAGTGCCACTTTAAGATAAAATAAAGTATTTTACCAGAGATTCAGCACTGGGCAAATGATAAAAAGGCTTGATTGAAGTTGTAGCAGTATTGCTGGCGTTAACCTACGCAGGAACAGGATTGCCGGTGCTAACTCATGCAGGCCAGGAATGGTAAAGTGGTAAGTGGTGTCCCTCAGGGTTCTTTTTTGGGACCGCTTCTATTTAACATATTTATAAATGATTTTGAAATAGGCATTGAAAGCCATGTTTCAGTGTTGCAGATGACACAAAACTTAGTAAAGTAATAAAATGTGAGCAGGATATTGCTTTGCTGCAGAGGGATTTAGATAGATTGGGGGACTGCGGACTAAAATGGCAGATGAAATTTAATGTAGAGAAATGCAAAGTTATGCATTTCGAGGTCAAGAATGCACAAGCAATTTACACCCTAAATGGTAGTGAATTAGGAATAACCACACACGAGAAGGATTTGGGAATTGTTATAGACAACAAATTAGGCAGCAATATGCAATGTCAATCTGCAGTTGCTAAGGCCAGCAAAGTATTGTCATGTATAAATAAAGGGCATACATTTTTGGGATAAAAGTATAATTTTGACTCTTTATAAATCACTGGTAAGACCACACTTTGAATATACTGTGCAATTTTGGGCACCTGTTCTAAAGAAGGATATCATGGTACTAGAAAAAGTGCAAAGATGAGCTACAAAATTGATAAAAGGAATGAAGCATTTTAGTTATGAAGAAAGGTTAAAACATTTAAATCTGTTTAGTTTGGAAAAACGGCGCCTGAGAGGGGATATGATAACATTATACAAATATATTTGGGGCCAGTACAAACCTTTATCTGGAAATCTATTCATAAACAGGGCTATACATAGAACACAAGATCACACATTTAGGCTGGAAGAAAGGAGATTTCATCGAAGGCAAAGAAAAGTTTTTTTTACAGTAAGAGCAATAAGGATATGAAATTCTCTGCCTCAAGAGGTGGTTTTGTCAGAGTCCATACAGAGGTTTAAACTGCAATTGGATAAATACTTACAAAAACATAACATACAGGGATATAATTTCTAATTAGTGGGGTAATAGCTGCTTGATCCAAGGAGACATCTTACTGCTATTTTGGGGTCAAGAAGGAAAAAAAAGAAAAGGGGATTTGCGCCCAAGTTTGGGACTGTCCAGCCTAAATAGGGTAACTTGCAGGTGCATAACCTATACACCAAAACTGCTTAAGTACGCTAAAGTTGTTTTGATATTTAGAGTATCCCTTTAACAACTCCATCCCACTCACTGAGGCTCACCCATGAGTATGGATTTCATAGGTTAGAGACAGCAATAGTTACTTGAGCAATTCTCTTTGACTATTTGGGCTAGAGACACCTACTAACAGTCTCCTTAAAGTGACTACTTTTCTTTTTACTTCGAACATCCAGAATAATGAACCATACCTTGACATCGGTGATGTGGGACAGTCTTGTTCATCACAATGTGCGTGATTAATGTTTACCTTTGATTGGTTATTTCGTTTTTTCCTTTTTTTTAACCCAAATATTTAAAGGTTTGTAAACCAAAAACTATGAACACTAACAGCGCAAGTATGCAAGTAAATGACTACATCTCAGGATCCTTAAGATAAAAAGTAAAGGAGCTTGTCAGAGAGGCTATGGATGTCTGCAGTACAAGTTAGAAATGTTTTAACTGAGCAGAGGAAAATATATCTTCCTCCACAGACAGTCATTGAATGAGCATGTTTATAGATGCAGTGTTTTGGTTTGTTTTTGCAAAACTGTTGCAGTTGTAAACAACTGTGTACAGGAAAACAGAGACAGGGAACCTCCTTGATTCACAATCCATGTAGAGAGCACACATTTATTTTATTGACGTGTTAATTATTGCTTCATGTGTGCTTTTAATTCTATTTTAGAACTGGAATGTATTTGACTACTATTT